CCCATATTAGGTTTAGAATAGCTACTCAGTGCTGTCCACGGACTGAAAACTAGTGGTTGGTATGAGCCTGGTGATCAAGTTCTGTAATCCTAGCTACGTAGGAGCCTTAAGCAGAAGATTGAAAGTTCAAGGCCTCTCTGGCTAAAGAACTAAAATTCTTTATTTTCTTTCCTAAAGGTTTGTTTTATTTTAATGAATGTGTTTATGTGTGTGCTCAGGGTGTATGCCCAGGTGAGTGGCATGTGTAAGATCCTCTGGAGCTGGAGTGAAAACCATGCTCTGGGTCACCCTATATAGTCACTGACAATATGTGGAAAATATTTGCCATCTTCACGGCTGGATCGCCCCACTTTCAAATATGAGATCCTAAGTTCTCTGTTGGTTTTAAAAGACTGCCCTTTACTGAAGGTAACACAGGGGAACTAGCTTTAGGTCTGATTGCTTGGGGCAAAAGGTGAAGCCTAGGAGACATGGAAGCCCTTGTGTTCACAGATAAGCACTAGGTGAGCCACAAATGTTAAACACACAGGGTTTCTCTTCAAAGAGAGAGAGGTATAACTGATTTTCACCTAGAAGGCTTGGGGCAGACAGGAATAACAGATAGCCTGGTAACTTTTGTGCTATGTGTGGCCGGAATACACTGACTTCGCCAGCCCCTTACCCTAAGCTTGTTTGTCTCAATCTCTAGTTCTCTCCTCCCACAGATCCCCACCATTAGCTTGCTTGAGTCTTTTTTCATTTAATCTATAGATTTTCTCATTATGGAATATGTGTATTTTATGAAGAGTTTCAATGTAGTCATGTCTTAAGTTTGGTTATGCACATGGCATTGAGTTAGTTATTACTAGGAAATCTTTTTACCAATTTATTCATGGCTTTAAAAGCCTGAAATAAACAGTGGGTCTCAGCCTTTAACTTTGAACCAGCTCTGACTACAGAATCCTATTGAAGCAAACCATCTTATTTCCAGTGGATCGTTTTCTGTTGATGTTGGTGGTTGCAGAAAACCCTCAATCAGGAAAGGGAAGTATGACTCTAGAATATTCTCCAAAGATCTGAATAAAGTAAGATGCATGTTTGGAATGGAGAAGCAGATTGATCCAATTAAGTTGTTCATAGTTTGTTGTTTATCACTGAGGAGGAAATGCACTGTAAACATTTCTGAAAGCAGGGAACTCTGGGTAGGTATCCTAAGATCATGGAGAGGGAAATGAAAGTCTCTGGGGCTCTAGACATGCCGCTCAATCGGTAAAGTTCTTGATATAACCATGACTCCCTAGGTTCCATCTTAAGCACCACATAGTAAGCACAGTGGCTCACAGATGTACATACCGGCAGGAGGTAGAGGCAGGAAGAATAGGAGTTCAAAGTCATCATTGGCTACATACAGAGTTGCAGGTCAGCTTAGGATATAAGAGATCTTGTCTTAAAAAGAAATGAAAGGAGGTAAAGAAAGAAGGAAGTACAAAAGAAGACAGATAATTAGCAGAAACTCATTGAGTGATGGAATCATGGAAGTATTTAATGCAAATGAAAGAATAAAAGTGTCTTTCCCAAGGGCAGTAATGCAAGATCTGCTGAAGGCAGGAATACGCAGAATAAGAGGGAAGATGGTAAAGTAGACATTTGAGGCCAAATCGTTATAATGGACAAACAGTCTAAAAAATACAATGATGAATTGCCAAGTTAAAACAAGTGGCTATAATTTCCACTTTGACTTACTAAGGTTCCACATAGGAGGTGCCAACAATGCTATTAAACTCCAAAATTAAATCCTCTACCATAGCCAGCATAAATCTTCTAGACCTCTAATGGTTGGGGTAACATAACAGATATACATGAAATTTAGGATTTAATATGGAAATGACCCAACCAGAATAAGTTCTAAGTTTTCACTAGAATTATATTTTTCCCTGACTCTTATCCTATTAGCATATGTTATTTTAATTGCTGTTTTTTATTGTAGTTATTGTTGTGTTTTGCCATTAAATGTTCAATACATGTGAATAATATTTCTCTATAATTGCCACCCACAAATATAGGTATTAATATGTTTAATCTGAAAAAGAGAAGTGCTGTCATTAAATGGAACCTAGCAGGCTTTAATCAGAAATAATGGCATAAGCAAAATAAAGCGAATTCAAGGTGTCTACGAGGAAGTTCCTAATGGCCTTTTAAAAATGATTACAAGTCTGGCCAGGGGTGCCTTTGGGGAATGGCATACAAATAGAAAACAATCTTCAAGTAAAGCAATTTAGTTTACTGTTGAATCACTCGGAAGCAACAACTGTGGAAATTGCTCCTGGTCTAGCGGTTGTTGGGCTGCCAGCTCTGTGTCAGGTGTTCACAATGTATTCCTTCTGCAGATTTAGTGGGGCGATTTTACACAAGGGCAACACATCTGTAAACAATTTCCTTATATTCAGGGCCTTTTCTCAGTCATCAACCTCAAGTCCAACCTTCTTCCCAGCTCTTCGTACCTTCATAAATACTTTATCTGCTGTTTATCTCTTCAGAAAACTAGGCTCTTGTCAGTGACATTCAGTATGGTTCTGAAGAAAAGTTACCCAGGGCTTTCATCTGAACTGATGAGTGAAATTTCAAAACTAAACTGTTTTAAACAGGTTCTGCCTCCAGGTTTGCGTGCCCTCTTTAACCTGCCATGGCTCTCTCTATAGCCCCACTGTTAAACAACCATTAAGCTGCAAGCTATTAAATAATGTTCTTTTCCTAACCCAGAACTACCTGTATCATTCAAACTGACTGCTGGGATTGCAGGTTATTTACAGTTTGTTCTCTGAACAAAGGAATGCCTCGAAGAACAGGGAGCTGGCATGTTTGTGAACGTGACAAACTGAACAGATCGGAGCTGGTGGGTGCTCTGTGTCTGCCTTGAGTTACACCTGATGTCATAAAATGTAAACAGGGGACCAGGAATACCTCATTATCAGATGCTCTGATATTATCATGATATTGCGAATTTTAAGACAAACATGAAAACTACCTGCAATGGATATGCTACCTGACCTATACTGTATTATTGGATATTTAATATAATCACACATGCCTGATGCCACTACTCTAATTGATTTTGCTGAGTCCTCTTTAACAAGGATGTGAAATGGAACATCCAAGGAACACTATTTTATATGATTTAGGGAAGAAAGCAGGTGTGCTAAATTCATCTAGGATTGGATAGTGTGTGTTAGATTGTACAAAAGTATACAAACAAAGCAAAGCCCATGTAGACAGAGACTATACTTTCCTTTCCCTGCTGCCCAGACCCAGATAATCACGCAGAAACTACATTAATTACAACACTGTTTGGCCAATGGCTCAGGCGTATTTCAAGGTAGCTCTTACATATTAAATTAACCCATTCCTATTATTCTATATATCCCTGGCCATGACATTACATCATTTTCTACATGTCTTGTTTCATCAGCAGCGTGTTTGGCATCTGACCCGACTCTGCCTTCTTTTCCTTTGCATCTTTACTTGGATTTCCAGCCTGGCTTTACTCTGCTAAGCCATTGACTGAAACAGCTTTATTCATTAGCAACATATATACAGTAGGACATCCCACATCAAGTCCACATTAGTTAGCAATTATCAGTCCTAAATAAAAACCTAGGTAAATCTCTGCAAAAGTTATTCATCAGCATTTTGTGCGTTTGTGTATACTCAGAACTTCTGTGTGATAAGGCAGCTGCTGGCATTTTATCTTGTTGGCTTGGTGCTATTGTAGTTTGTGGGTCTCCTAACATTGGGGATGGGTGTGTATCTGATGCTTTTACTTACTCTTGGGATACATTTCCTACTTTTGGGTAGCCTTGTCCAATCTCTATTTGATGGCTTTTGCATTGTCTTATTGTTTCTTGTTTTGTCCTATTTAGCTATCACCTCTTAGAGGCCTACTCTTTTCCGAAGAGGATAAAGAAGAGGAGTGGACCCGAGGGAGAGGGGAGGTGTGAGGAGCTAGGAGGAGTGAAGTGAGGGGAGCCAGTGATTGGGATGTATTGTTTGAGAGAAAAGTCCATTTTCAATTAAGAAAAGGGGAAGAATAATATAAGAAAGTGAATGAATTTTTGCATTATGTTTGCTCTGTTAAACACTTTTGGAACTGAGAGATCCTAGGAGAAAATTAAATTTATTATGTTTTCGTTAAACTATTAAGTTCATAAACATGTGGTTAAAGGTGAAAAGGGTTTGCATTTTCCCAGTAAAATCAGTAACTGGTTATCATGTCATAACGGTACCCCCATTACCCTCACAAAAATGCAAGCCCATTGACTTTGTCCAAAACAGAGTGGAGTCTCAACTCAGGTTGGCCAATAGAAGGAATTAAGTAGTTAGATAAAAGCCAATATTCCTCCAGAATTCTGAAATCTCCCTGCCTCTGGCGGAGGGACATATTGCTCTATTGCCATCTACCTCTGACAACTTTCAGCATATCAAAGTCCACGCTATTCTCCATGCTCCTTCAGCCCGTAATCATGCATATAGATTATTGCAGTTCACAGGCTTCCTACATCCCAGACACCCTTCGCTCATTCTCTGTATAATGGCAAGGTTTTTCCCAAACCTTGGCTATTCTCACTACTTTCTTTCTTGTTATTTCTATGATTCATACTCCCTAGGCTTGGCTAGGTCTAATCGGATTCTTTTTTTCTCTATGCTCTGGAGTCTTTTGGATGCCTCAGGGTATTTCTTCTCTCTTATCCACAATAAAACCTTCTCCATAATAACGAGAAATCATCTCAGTGGTTTCTTTTCTGCTCCTCCACTTAATCTGGGGATCTGAAATCTTCTTTACATTCGTTTCTATACATATGCAATGAACTTAAATTTGCCCTGCATTCTATTAACTCGCCCTTTTTATTTGAACATTTAATGTTGAGTGAACTAAATCACTAAACTTTAATTCTACTCAGGATACTGCCATCACCATGTTATAATATTGGATGCAAACTTTTTTTTTCCTGTTTCTTAAAATAAAGGATGAAGTCTGTCCCAAAGATGAAGAGGATGAAGTGCAGAGATGTGTATGGGCTTCCGCTGTTAATGTCAAAGACAAGTTCATTTATGTTGCTCAGCCAACTTTGGATAGAATCTTGATTGTTGATGTGCAGTCCCAAAAAGTTGTTCAGGTATGATTGATGGATACTTTTGAAAATGAGATTTGAAAGTTATATTCGCATTAATCTTAGAGTCTCTACCATCTAACTTGCTGACATTTGGTTATTATGAATTTCTTTCATTACTTGGATAACTAAAAACTATTTATGCCTTCTAAGAGTTTTGTCTAACTATTCTCTTTGCATCTAGTGAAATAAAAGAAAAATTTTCAAAGATCTTTTATTTTATAATATTTCAATTTTGGACTCATATAATATTAACATGACTAATTGCCTTTTTATTAAACAATAAAAAGAAAATCATGCTTGGTAGCCAATTGAGATTTCCCTAGCTGTTACCTTAACAAAAGTTGACACAGTAGTAAAATTTACAAGTTAGTAAAAAATATTAGATTGCTATAAATGATGAAACAGAACCATATGTCAATGATACAGAAGCCAACCTTTAATAGATACTGCCATGATGATGAATTCACAGCATATCTCATTCATCTTTCCATATGAACCACCATCATTGAGCTCTTACTCTTTCCAACACTATGCTGTGAGTCAATTTGCTTAAATTCAAATGTAAAATAACACACAAAAAGTATTGTATCTTAGAGATCTGTCTCCAAAATTTAGACATGGGCCAGTAAGATCTTTGGCCTCAGTACAAGAAAAAAATAAAAAAAGGTTAAGCTAGCATTGTGAGATATGTATTACTTTTGAATGGGAATAATCACTATTTGTGCTTTTAAAGTTATATTGAAGCTAAGATCAATTCATTCAGGTAAAGCATTTACAGTAAACCTTGGCATATAAAGAGCCATATTTATCTATTACCTATCTACTATCTAAGTGTCTTAGAGACAATGGAGCCCAACCACCCCTTACATGTACAGATAAGTTTTATAGTCAATATCGCTATGAAATTAACCCACACATTTTGATTTCTATATAAAAGAATAAAAATTGCTATGAAGTACAAAAAAAGAGTAATTGTGTTATTAACCCTTTCACATAAATTCATCCACCCATCCAGCCAGCCAGTCAATCATTCATCTAATTATGTTATATTCATGGATTGGTTGCTATTGCAACTTAAATAAATGAATGGAATTGGTTCTAATACAAGGCTCTGGTGCCTGCCATAATCTACGTTCCCGACTGACATTGAGTCTAATGATTCAGATTCTGATGTGAGAATGGATAGTGAAATGTTGATTAAAATTATGAACAGGGTCTAAAACTTCCAGGCTCACATATTTATCATGGCTATCCAATTAAATGGTTCCTTAACTATTGTGAGAACAAATAGTTTGTATGTTAGATTTCATTTGCATATGATTTGGATGATGTTGAATTTTGACAAGAGTAGTTTTATTTTGATTTACTCTGAAATAGGCCAGTGTAAATTAGAAGCATTTGGTCTGAAATGATCAGTATTCTTTGCCAGAATTTTAAAATTAGATGCATGATCTGAGACTAATCAAGTTGGTCTTTAAATTCAATTTTAAGTAGGGGCTGACACTTACTGAATATATATTTCCTAGTAGATATTCAAAAGTGGGAAAAGCCAACATCACTTATTATTTATATAATTTTGCCTTCAGACAATGATGTCAAATTAAAAATTAATAAAAGTTATGGATAATAAAATGGCCAAATGCTATGCAATGATCACATGAATTATTATTTTCTAAGTCCCTGTTATAATTATAAAATGCAAGGAAATTTTAAGAATTCATGAAATTCTAAAACAGAGAAAGTAGATTCTGACAGAACTATGTGGAGGGTTTTCAGACTCAAGTTGAGCACCTAGATTAGAAAATTGTGTGTGGGTACAAATGGATTCTCCTTACGAGTATGTTGTTGAAGTACTAATATCATTATTACTCCTTCATAATAATCCTACTATATATATATATATATAATTGCATATATTTTGCCACCATTTTTATTGCCATCGTTTGGACATGCATAGAAATGAAAATATGTATTATTTTATTCTGGCTCCTAGGTCTGGTAATTACTATTGCAGAAGAGTTCTAATTTCATGTAGACTGTGTTTGCATTATTATTTTGCTGTAAGGAATTGACTAGAATTAATTATTTGTAATTATGGAGTGTATATTTGTATATTTCCCAATGTAAAATCAAGTATAATCTCAAAATCTTCAATCAAGGCATTTTGTGGTCTTCTGTAGGCACAGACTTGCAGAGACTTTGTCAGTGTACATGCATGTTCCTAACTGGTATTTGGTTATTTTTTCACATACAGAAATTGTCTAGAATGATGCTAAACTTCAGGTAAAGGGCTCTGATGTGCCTAGAATTAAACTATTTCCAGCTATGAATCATAGTGTGTTCAGTTTTAGCAAATGAGTAATATATCCTAATTAACTTAATTTCAAACACGCACACACATACACACACCCGACACACGCAGATTTGATCAAGTAGCTAATATATTGCAGCCAGAACCATTAGAATCTCGTCTTCTAATTCCTCTAAAGCAATAAGAACAATTTCAATATTCAGTAATTGAATGTTAGTGATAATGTGACAGTAATTTTTACAAATAATTAAAATAAGTAATATTTGTATATATCAGTCTATGCTCTAACCATTTAAATTAATGAGCAATTAAAGCATATTCAAATTATTTATAATAGTTATTATTATAAATAATACCACTAGCTATATATTTCTTATATTTAGTTTTTTGTACATGGTATATTGAATTACAAATATATTTATACGTTTATATATTTTTGGTCATATATATAAATTCATTTTATATGCAAGTATTTGTACATAATTATAAATATACAAGCTTGCATGCAATATACAAGGTTAAGTATAAAAAGTATATTTAAATTGTTGTTTTTAAGGTTATGTGCATGTGTTTAATTTTAGTAAGCAAAATGTGGAAACATACTGTTAAACAATTTTAAAACTGCATGTGTTTGCATTATTGGTTAATTTCTATGAAAAAATTTCTAACTAGCACTATAATGAATATGTTAGTAAAATTACAAAGGCATTTCTATGGTGATATTATTTTTCATAATTCTACATTAATGTGAGATTTCTAAACTGAGAACAACTACTTTCAGATGTTAAATTTTTGCATTATAATCAAGGTTGAAATTAAAAATGCTCTAGGAGAACCTAAAATTTGCTCAGGTTGAAATAAACACTAAAACAATTCTACATGACATTTTAAATAAGGGTAACAGAACTTTAAGCAAAATTAAAAAAAACAACAACAAGAACAAAAGCAGTTCTGAAGTAAAAACAGTGCGGGCATAATATCCCACATCAAGGCAAAGCCATCTTGGAAAAGCAGGTGTATCACTGAGTGAAGGAAGTGAACAAATCTGAGGGCTTCTGCAGAGGAGCACATGACAGGCAAGTGAAGCCCCATTCCTGAAAGACTGAGAAAGAGAAAACAAATCTTTGGGTACTATTCCATTCTGCTGGAAAAAAAAAAAATAGAAGCCACACCCAGTTTTGTTTTTTTTTTTGTTTGTTTTTCAGATATATATTTTATCATAAAATGAACTAAAATTTAGATTGGAAGTAAAATTGCTTATATTAAGAATGATTTCATGTGCTAATGAGAAAAGAGTGGGTATTCCTGTGACATCCTGAAATTTAACTGTCAACATGATAGTCTTTCTGTCTAAGGTGAATTGTAATAACATTTAGACATGCATGAGTCAAGACCCTTGCTGCCAAGTCTAAGTTTGATCTCCAGAACCCACTAGTAGAGGGACAGTGTGACTTCACAAGTTATTCCTCCTACTTCCACATGTGAGACACAGCGTGCATGTATCTACACACCAACACACACAGTAAATAAGAGGTTTTATATTTATACAAATTATTGTTTGGCATTGGAAATCATAACATTTCTGGAAATACTGTTCCTGAACTTAAAAAAGTGAAAATGGTTGAGAGAATGAAGAGAAAGAAAATAGATGAAGGATACATAAATATAACTTCAAAGACCCAAGAGACACCACTCTTCTAATAGATATATTGACAGTGAAAATTCCAAAAGCAAAAGAAGCAGAAATGAGAAATAAAGTGTTAGAACATTTAGAAAAATATTGGGTCAACATTTTTTATGTCAGTGAAAACCACCAGACAAATAGCCAGGAGCTCATTAATCTTGAAGGAAGAGTTCAAAGTAGCTAACACCATGATGCCTTATGAAATTCCGAATGGTTCTTAGAAGCAGTAAGAGAAATACAGACAAAGGTTCCCCAACTGGTCAGTTAGTAAGTATCTCTAGAACCTGCAGAAAATTTCTATACAAAAATTAGGTAAATAGACTTTACCGAGTACAAGAATTTGAATGTACATTTTCTTATAGAATATATGTAAGAAGCCAGTAAGTAGAGAAAAGGATTGCTTCTTATTATGTTATTTATCTTTTTTTAAAGATTTATTTATTATGTATACAACTTTCTGCCCCCATTTATACCCACACACCAGAGGAGGGCGCCAGATCTCTTTACAGATGGTTTGGAGCCAGCATGTGGTTGCTGGGAATTGAACTCAGGACCTCTGGAAGAGCAGACAGTGCTCTTAACCACTGAGCCATCTCTCCAGCCC